TTATCTAGACAGATTCTGCTGATTATAAAAACTACTATGGGCATGCAAGATAAACCTACTAAGAAAGTGGGGAAAGCGCATGACCTTATTTTTTTCCAGGCAACAGTTTGCATAATATTTACAGAAAGCATCTAAAGTTCCAAAGACATGCAATATATACCAAGAAAAGCAAGCTTAGCCCAAGAGACCACACCTTACTACTTAGAGGGACTCTCGGTAACAGGTTCTGGAGACCAAGCAGTCATCCATCTTCCTTCCCATACTCAGTAACCCAAGTGACTGCCAGACACATGCTCTGGATCTCATATGCCTATCAAGCCACTGCTCATTTTCTATTCTATGGGAGTTTGTGCCCTTCTGGAAACCTGGATCCACGAATGGGTTCAAGACAGACAAAGCCTGTGCTGCCTTCTTTTCAGGAAGACAGAAGGCCACCTCTAATAGGCCAGCAACACTCCCCGCTGGCTGTATGCTGACAGAGCTCTACTGATCTCCTCTGAGAGAAGGGACACTCAGCTCTTTGTCTGTTGTATTGTTTTACAAATTATTTACTCTGCCCATGGAAATCTGATGGGCTTTAGAACATTTGGCTCACTGGTGTTATCCATCTTCCCATCACTCCGGTATCAGAGAATCCTAGTCTTTCTGAGGATCCAGGCTTGAGAAGCAATTATTTTCTGAGTTTCTTCAAAGAGAATCTATGAAATTATTTTGACTTCACATGTTCTAAGACAGGGATTTCAGAAACAAAAGATAATCTGTGGAGTCCTTAAGCTTTTCAAATTTTGCTTTTCAGTTGGTATGTGTGGTGCTTCCCCCACCCAAATTTTGCAAAATACTTTTGAGTATTCCTGTGAGTTTACCAAGTTAGGCCAGCTATGCTGTAGACAAAATTAACTTTTTACCTTGGTGTGTTAATGTTTGAAACAAAACCTTTTAAAAATATCTGCAGCATAGCCCAGACTGAGCAGTTGGGCTTCAGCTGACTTAGCACAGAGCGAAATGGTTGTAACCCAAAACCCAATCTCCCGTGAGGTTCCCACACTGCCTCAGTTAGACAGTGAGCTCCCTGAGGGAGAAGCACGTCTTCGTCCATGGAGCACAGGCCTGGCCCCAGAGGCCTCTGTAAAAGTTCGTTGTGTAAAAGAACAAAGTGGACACTGCAAACACATCAACAGTAAGGTCATTTTGTGTCAACTGTAAAAAATCTTTGTAATTGTTCCTGGAGGTTACTCTATTTCTGCTCTCTGGAAATTAACTGAATAGTAAACAAAAGACTTTGAACAATAAAAAAAGCTAGTTTCATGGTTCCTACCTGTTTGTATTAGAGGCTCTCCAAACAATATTAATTTTTTCGCCCCCCCTTCTAAAGCACAACTTAAAAACAAAAGTTTTTTTAATTCCTAAGCACATTGTTCACTCCTTTAAAAGCAGGATCAGACAAAGGAGGAGGGCACAGGCCAAACTGATTTTGCAAAATTAAATTCAGAAGGAAAAGGAGGTGCACATCTAGGGTTTTAAGTCTCTGTTACCTAATGGCCCCCTAACCCAGTTCTTGATCTCCAAGTACAGGAAGAAGGTAAATTTAGGGGGTGAGATTAGGCCTCCGCTCACTGGCGTTTATGAAACATTTTGGCAGTGCTCTGCCACGCAGTCTATAATTAGTGAGTAGGCCTCAGAGACTTAAAATGAACTCTGGGTTTCAGAAGCCAACAGAAGTCCCCTGAGTACTGTTCTGCACAGAGCACGGCACTGGGTGCCTGCCACCAGGCGTACATGTGAGCGCACACAAGCCAGTTCTGAAGAGTCTCTTTTTTCAAAGCTCTAATGGCTTGACCTCAACACCTGCTGCACTTCCTGAAGACAGACAGGCTCTGGAGCTCCACTTGTTCCTTGCACGCGGCTGCACTTTCTAGGAACTACCGCACACAAGCAGAGGCTGGCTAGCTGCCAAGGCAGGGGCAGCCCAGCCGCCTCGGGCCTGAACTTTCCCAGTGCTGTCAGGGCGGGATCCCACTCGGAGCTGACTCAGCGGCCGGCATGGAACCCTGCCAACCGCCCAGCAGTGCGGGGGCTGCCGTCAAGTCACAGATGTTTTGCTAAAGCAGAGCAATCAGCCCGGAGGCTGGTCTGGGCTGGCGGCCAGGCTGCTGCTATCGTGGAAGCTGGGTTTCTCTGATCCTTGTCCTAGCTCCACCACCACCTCTCTGGTGATCTGAGGGAAATCCTCTGTGCATCTCAGCATCCTCCCTGCCTCAGAGCATGTCTGTATGGATGCAGCAGAGGTGGTGCTGTTTGTATGAAAGAGCTTGGAGCACTACTACGTACCCCGTGCTAGCTCTGTTAATCCTTGCAACATCCCTAGGAGTAGTCTCCATTATTTTTATCTCAGATGAGAAGACACAGGCTCAGAGAGATGAAGGGGAGCCCATCAGATCACAAGGGTAATAAATGGAAGAGATGGGATTTGAACCCCCTTTGTCGGCTATGGAATCTACTGCAAACACAGCTACTGTAAACTCAGATGAACTGCACAGGCCCCTTTATACAAAGATGCTGATTTTTCAGGTTCCAAAGGATTTTCTTATGTGACTTCTAGTTGCTCTGAAAAAACCCACAGCTCTTCACAACTGATTTCTAAACAGCAGCACATGAAGAGTATGTGCTTATGGGGTGTACCCAGATAGTACTAGCTTTATCATGAGCTCCCTGCCTGAGCACCAATAAGTCACTTAACCTGGAACAATTTAGCATGGCTCCTATTCTTTGGGTGAGGAAAACCAGCATTTCAGGTCAGAAAGAGAAGAAACCAGAGGCTCGGTTGAGAACAGATTCTGTAGGCCTTACCCCGAGATATTCATTAGGACCCCGGAATCTGTATTTTTTAAAAAGCTCCATAAACGATGCTCAGCCAGTTTGAAAATCACTTAAGCTTGCCTTGGCTAAAATGGGAAATCTGAAGTCTATCCTTTCCTGTGAGATGAAATCATGTCTACAAGGCTCTTTGTTAGAAAATATACATAACGCAAGTGCTTCTCATCAGCTCTGTTTAGCTGCAAAACAACAAAACTGTCCTTAAAGAGAATAACCCTGGGTTAGCCTGGAGCTAAGAAACTGTCTTAAGCAGACTATTCTTTTACATTACTACTAGAAAAACTGTAGTTAGAGTCCCACATCTCATTTTTAGATGTCTCTCTTAACAGTGTTGCAATCTCATCCTTCTTTAAAAAAAAAAAAAAAAAGAGATTCTACTGACATTCTTTCACTTCAAAACTTCAAACTTGGAACAATCTATATGAGGAGTAACTTACACATTTCATTGCTTTAATCAAGAAAACAAGGATGGCGAAAAAATTCAAAGTCAATTCATTCTGGGCTGCTGGTCACTGAAGCGGGGTGAAAAGGCACAGACTGGCCGACGCTGGCCCTGGCAATCCAGTACCCCTTTGGCTGGCCTAAATTTAGGAAGAACAAATGAGCCCCACACCAGAAAGACTGACCTGCTTGAGCTGCTCATCCAGATTCCAGCCTGGTTGCCCAGCTGTGGGGGCTGAAGCTGGGCCCTTGGTAGCATCTTTGGTATGGTCTTCTCGGGCCTGCTGTCCGTGTGGTAGGAGCCCTGGTGCTGGAAGGAGACCAGATATGGGTGCCACTCTAGGGTCTTGGCGAGTCACTTTCTGCACATGAAAATATTTTGAAGCAGCCTGGGCCTCTTTCTCAGCCACCTCTGCAACGTCATCATCCCCATCCTCATCTTCCAAACCTCCTTCCTCTTCCTCAGGCTCTGAGTTCACATTGCTCCGTTCAAAAGCTCGGGTCACTGCTGTGGCCGGAGGAATTCTGGCTAAGGGACCCAGGGCAGGGCTGACAGAAGGCCTCCCAGGTGTGGCAGAAAGAAGAGTCTGTGTGACCAGCTTCTGGGCATACAGGAACTGGGCTTCTCTCATCTGCTGTCCCTGCTTCTCTCTGGCATCCATCTGCAGAGAAACCTGGTGTGGTGGCTGCTGCTGTGGCTGCTGCTGCTGTGGCTTCTGCTGCAGCGGCTCCATCGCTGCCTCAAGCTTCACCCACTGATTGGCATGGCTTTGAACCTGGGCACAGCCCAGCAGGCACACTGGGTCTAAACCTTAAGTGATTAATAGAAACCACAAAGAAAGAGAAAGAAAGGGGGGGAAAAACTATGTAAAACAAGTATAAACAGCTTTCTTTTCTCCAGTAAAGGGCATGAATTCTGAACACTAAACGTATGCTCCTAAACCTGAGTTTTAGGATGAGTGAGTGGTGGGAGTTTCAGGGGTAGGTGAGTAGGGAAGGGTGTGAAGAAGAGGACAGAATTTAAGAGGGGAAATATGGGATCAATCTCAGCAGTGATGGGTTACAGTGGGTTTAAAAGAAGTAAATCCAGATGATATATAGTCTACAAACATCTGTATTCTGATCTTCCTCCATCAACATTACCAAACATTAATCTGTTTATTACTGAAAAAGCTACTGGGTTTGCACTGTACAAAGGTTATGAGTATGAAAACCACAATAATAAAGGAAAAGAAGGTCTTGCCTATAAAAGAGAAATATTGATTATGTTCTCAGGCCCATCAGAGAAAGAAGTTATCATCCAAGCTAGACAGAGCTATCAATCAGGCAGACAGAGTGATTTCTCTTACAGAAAAGCAGAACCTAGCAAACTGCTCTTGGGTTTAAACTTTTCAAACTTCCCAGATCCAATTGCCAACCTGCTTTTCAAGTGGGCTGGGCCATGCCAACTGGACATTATAGCCTCAAAAAGAATCCAATTTCAACAACATGAAAGAATGTATACCCCCCCCCCCAATCCAGCAAGGAGGCAAGTTTCAAATTGCAATCGTCACTCAAAAACAAACAGGGGAATTCCTCTGGAGATTTTCAAGTTAATTAATTTGAAACAGATATCAATAATGTCTATACAGCAAGTTATTACTTCTTTTTTATAAACAGCCAAGTAAATCTCTTCACATCCCCTTTCTTTCTGATTCACTTCTACTATATTCTTACTATATTCTATGACGAATACAAAAAAGAAAAGGCTTTCAGGCCCAAAGTATTCTGGGGGCTGGTTTATCAGCATTCTTACCAATCAGTCTCCAAACACACACCCCTTTCACAAGCTCTCCTCCTCTCACTCCCCTCCACCCCCTCTTTCTCCTCTCCGAGTCCCCACCCCCACTCCTCACTTCAGTTTTGTTTCCTCAGAGAGTCTCCATTAACTGAATGGATTACTACTATGCCTGGGCAAATTCTAGGTGAACAGCACTTGCAATATGGCGTACAATGCTATCCCCAGGAAAGGAGAAATTGCTTGCACAGGTTGGGACTTGATATTTGCATTGTTCCATTGTTTTAGGATTGAGTAGAAAGAGTAAAAAAACTAAATGTCTTCAGTGTCTTCAAAAAGTCATGGGGGAAGTAATCACATCCCTAGCAAGAAAAATTGCTTGGATTTATAAACATTTTAATGGGTTAGAGAAAAAAGGTCTAATTTTTAAAGCTAGGCAGAACAGTAGAGGGAAAAAACCGCTAACTTTCTGTTTATCTTAAAAGCACTGCGTTTGCCTTTTTGCATTCTGTGAAGGATTCAAATTCCAATTTGCCTCTAAGTGCCTTTACTTCCTTTCTTAACACTTCAGAAACTGAGTTATGCCTGCAGCAATACCTTCATTCTGCTTTAACCCTCTTTATGGTGTAACAAAGCATGAAAAGATTTACACCCACAGTAAATCCAGTTGGCTAAAGTGTTCATTTAAAATAAAAACAATTTGCGTCAGAGAAAATTAAATAAAAGAATAAAACAAATGATTCGGTGGTCATTTTAATTTTCCTTATAATCCTTAAAGTCAATCAATCATGAGCGGGAAAATTTTCAGCTAAGTCCTGCCAGTCATTGAACAACTGCTTCTTGTTTTGTGGCACCATCTTCTCTGTGTGCTGTCCCCAGCAGAGGAGGAGGTGTCTCACAGCATCTTTAGTAAGACTGAGATGACTCAGTTCTACAACTCAATACACAGACCCTCCTTCAAAAAGCCCACCTTCCCCGTCCCTAACCAGCCAATCGATCCAAACAATACCACCTGCCTACGTTTAGAAAACTTGTCTCAGAAATCTAAGCCACTTCGTCCCTTCACAAGGCCCCCTTCCCCACTTCCCCTAAAGTTCCCGACCACCAAGCTCGGTGCAACGTCCTCGCCCACTATTCCCTCTACCTTCGCCGTGGGATCTCTCTAGCCCCTCCCTGCCCGCTTCAAGCCCCAACCTCCCGACCTCGTTACTCCACGCCCCGCCCCCCCATTCCCTATTCCCCCCCGCAAACCCAGCCCTATCACTTTTACCTCTACCAAGCCCCCCCAGCCAATCCGTCGGCTTTTCTCGGAAAGCCCCAACCCCACCTATCCTCACCCGCTCAGTTCTCGGGGGGCTGGGGGGGGGCCTTACTCAGCGCATCCCTTTATCTCCAGTCACCCTAATGGGCACAGGGCGTCTCCGGTCTCCTCCCAGCGCTCTCACTTTTTTCTCCGCGGCCCCCGCGCTCCACCGGCCAGCGCCTTTACGTCTCCCCATGCACACCTGCCTCTCTCCCTTCCTCCCCTCCACCTGCCACAGCCCCCGCTCCCGCCGCGGCAGAGGGACCCGGGCCCGCGCGGCTTACCTGTGCGGGACGCTCCAGATCAGCCTGCTGTGGTGTAGGCTGCCACTCAGGCCCCCGCGCTGCAGCTGCGTCTCGGACTTCTCCGCAGCCGGGGGCCACAGCCGGGGCGGGGCCCACACCGGAAGCGGCGCCGCGGGGCCGGTCAGTCGGCCCTGGGCGGGGAGGGGGCGGTGCCGCACGAGATGGGGCGCGGCCTGAGGCCGGAAGCAGCCAAAAAGGGATCGAGGGGCGGGGTCAGGCGGAAGTGACTTCTAGGGACGGTCTCGCCCACCTAAGTCGTGAGCGGAAGCGGGTCGAAGTTGGCGGAAGCTTCCACCAATGGGAGAGCGGAGACCCGGAGGAGTTCCGGTGTGAGCACTTTCGCGGGGAGTTGAAGAGAGTAGGTCGTCGTGAAGTTGTCTCTGCGCGTTTTCTGGTTGCGGAGGTTGGTGTGGCATGGGCGGTAGGTTGGGGGGAAGATAAATAAAGGAAAAGGAGTGTCAGGGTTTTCGGTCCCCTCCCCAACCTCCAACCTTTAAACCGGCCTTCCTCTGAGATTCCCACTTCCACATCAGCTTTTCTCTGAACTCCATGCCTTCCTGGACTGAGACTTGGCTGTCCCCTGAGGCATTCTTTGGAACCCCTCACATGGATTAGTATTCTCACTTCCCAGGTTCCAAAGGTGGGGGACTATCTGCCGAATACTGTCACCTCGTAAAAACCCTTGCTACTCTGAGGACTTTCAGCCATTTAACGGCCTCGGTAGAGAACATCTGCTTCTTTGCGCATCCAGCTCCTTGCCTTACTTTCTTTCCTCCAGCCGTTTCCCATCTTGTTAATTTCATAGTCAATGTGGACAACCCATTTAACGTCCGGGCCTCATCTCTAGCGACCCTTACATAGGCCTCTCAATTCCAGTTAAAAACCTGGATCTTATCACCAGAAACGCTGTTGAAGCAGGGCCTGGTATCACGTCACGAATCAATAATCAGAACATCCCTCTGTCCAACTACAGCCCGATATCCTTTAGGCTTGAGTGCTCAGGAACTTCATCACAGTTGTTTTTTGCACTTCATCAAGACCTCCAACCTGTTGAAAGCCTAACTCTTATCTTAATCCTTACTCTTCACTTCCCTCCTTATTCATCTTAGATTCAACACTACATCATTACAACCCTGCTCTTACTTATTCTTAAGCCTGCCCAACACTCCTTTTTTCTCAGCTAAGTCTTCAACCCTGGATGGACCAACATGCTTCTCCATGCCTGTACCTTCTCATGGAAAATTGTCCTGCTGAACAGATTGGCGTCAATAAGTTAATAATTGCTACTCTTAAATGGGTTGTGAACAGTGCCTGGAAATTTCATTATATTTTTCTAGTTAACTTGCTCTCCACTATCTCTGCAAATCTCTAACCCAACCCATCTTGTACCCATTCCCCGGATTATCTTACTGTACATATAAGTAGCAGAAAATGTAGAATGCCCTAAAATCTAAATATCTACATGTATTCCCATCCTGTCCTTTCTTATAATTTATTCAATCAAAAGTATTCATTGATCTCCCACAATATGCCAGGTGAGGCATTCATGTAGGTGCTTGTTGAGTGTTGAACAAAAAAATTACTGTTTCTAAAAACAAGCCTGTTTCTAGTGTAGGGAGACAGAAACAAATGTAGACGTGCTATGAAGGGATATGTGCTATGAAGAAGAACAAAGGGTAAGGGTTAGTGGTGTCAGGTAGCTCCTATTTTAAATGGTAGAGAAGGACTCATTGATATTTTAGATGTTAGAGAAGGATTCATTTAAGCAGAAACTAGAATTGACCTGATGGGAGCGAGCCATGTGAATATCTAGGGAAAGAGTGTTCCAAACTCAAATGATCTGAGGCAGGGGCATGCTTGATATGCTATAGGAATCGTAAGGAGACCACTGGAGCTGATAGAGAGTAAGTGAAGGGGAGATTGGTAGGAGAGGAGATCAGGGAGGTCGGCAGGGGCCCAACCATTGCAGGGCCTTATAGGCCATGATGACATTTTTGAATTGTTACCACTGAAACCACCAAAGAGTTTTGAGTAGAAGAGTGATTTGCTCAGATTTAAGTCTCGAAAAGGACCACTCTAGCTCTTGTGTGGAGAATAGACTATGAGGGTGGAGGGGTAAGAGTGGAAGCATTAGTCCTGGCAGAAGATGATGGTGGCCTGAACTAGATGACATCCATGGGGGTGGAAGAAGTGGTCAGATTCCAGGTGTATTTTGAAAGTAAAGCCACCAGGATCTGCTAATAGGTTGGATGTACAGGTTAGAGAAGAATCAAGGATGATGCCAGGTTTTTGGCCCAGGTAACTGGTAGAATAAAGATATACTGACTCGGATCAGAATCTGATCCCTTAGCAATGAAAAGGAATAAAGCATTGATATACCCAACAACGTGGGGTTACAACAACATGACAATAAAGGCATTATGCTGACTGAAAGAAGCTGGTCTCAAAATGACACTCTTGAAAAGGTTAAAACTATAGCGATGGAGAATAAATCAGTGGTTGCCAGGAGTGAGGGATGGAAAAGTGATGATAAGGAAATAGCAAAACAGGGTTTGGACCAACTTGCATTGGTCCTACAAGAGGTTTTTCAGGATTGATTACTCTTCTGTATCCTGGTTGCAGTGGCAGTTACATGAATTTATACATGTGGTCAAATTAATAGAACTGTAAAACAAAAATACAATCAATTTTAACTGTATGATAATTTTTTTTTTAAGCCAAACTTCCATGCATGCTGGATTTCCCTACCCAGTTCTAAGGGCTTTCTCTTTATTCTCTTGCAATATTGGATCCTTCCATCAGTATTCAAACAGGCTCTAGTTTCAACCATATTTTGCTTCAAAAAAAAAAAAACCCCACAAAAAACCTGTCCTTTGACCCCACATTCTATACTTAAAGCCTTATCTCACTATTCCCCTTCCTACCAAAGCTTCTAGAATTACTGTCCTCACTGCAGCCCAAGTGATCTTATCTCTCTCCTTAAAACACTCAGGCTTCCCATTGCTCTTGGGATCAAGACCTAAATTCCTTCACGTGTCATTTAGAGCCCTAGCCTCTGCCTACCTCTTTGGTTTTATCTCTTTGCTGCAGGTGTAGTAGAGGACCCAAGAGAGCAGCCTTACTGGATGACCTCAGTAGTTAAATCAGAAGAGCCCCCACCCCCTTCATAGAAATATTATTAAACCTTAACATACACACCCATTCTGGTCACAAGGAATATTTAATCTCTCCACTTTGGCTTCCAACGTGTGGTAGATTGAACATAGCCACAGTACAGCAGGTCCTTGAATAAGGTTTTGTTATAACGATGAGATACTGTAAGAACTTAACTCTTGTTTATATGTATTAACCTGTGGTAAAATTGGTTTTGCTATACATAGTTTAGCTTAAAGTTGCAGAATGTTAAGTGTGTACTTACTGTATTTTTCAGCTTCTCCCATCAAGAGGTGGTGTCTATTCCTCCATTCTCTGAATGTAGGCTTGGCCATGTGACTTGCCTTACTTGTTCTATGGGACATTAGCAAATCTGATAACAAGGAGAGTCTTTAAAAATGCTTACAATGATGACTACTCACTCTGTCCTGCTGCTGGGAACTCTTCCACCACCTGTGAAAAACTCCTGCTAACCTAATGGATAATGAGAGACATGTGGTCATCATCTCATCTGACTTCTAACCAACTGACAGACTGGAGTGTGGCCCCTTAGACCAGCTCACCTGCCAACCACCAGATATGTGAGCCCGGCTGTTGTAGGCCACCTAGGCTTAGCTGTGCTGGTCCAGACAAGTAGAAACCCCCAGTGAACCCACAGACCAGCAAAAAATAATGTTTATTGTTTTAAAGGTAAACCAGCAAGTTTTGAGGTGGTTTGTTTTGCAGTCAAAGATAACTGATACGCAAGGCATTCTTTGCATCTATCTGGCTGGATTTGGTTGGGTGTACTTCTTGGAGCCGCTGAGCACATAAAGAAGAGAGCCACCGTGCATCATTCTCACGTGGCTGGCCTCCGTTACCTTAAGGTCTCTCATTAGATTTCTCATAGTTTTGTTTATAGCAGGAATAATCTTATACATATGTCTGTTGTATTTCAGGTTGTTCAGTAAACGTAATATCATTTGCGTGGTTTTCATTTATTTTCTTTTTAAAAATAAAGGTTGAATCATGTAAATGTTGGGTATAATTTGTATGTATGCTATAAACTTAATCTTCTATGTACAGCGCATAAAAGCTAAGAAACAACAGGTAAATGCCCATATTATAGAATAATAATTAGTCATAACTAAGGGGAAAATGCCTGTAGTTTGTGTTTATGGTAGCCAATGTTAATTATTTATGTAATTGTGTCCATTTTAATGAGATTTGGTGTTTTAGCATGAGTGGGTTTCAATGTTGGAACCCAGGGAACATGTAAAATGTTTTCCCATTGAAATAAATGATGATTACATTTTCAACTTGCATTGGCCCCACAAGAGGTTTCTCAGGATTGATTACCTTAGTAAGGCAGGAAAGGACTGTCCTACAGTTACTGCACCTTTTACTGTCATGGAAAATTTAAATGTAACCTGAAGATTAAGCTTTCTTCTGGTCCTGAGATCTAAGTATAGCCTCAGGGAGCCCCTGTTAGCATGCATAAAAGCCTCTGCTGAGTAAATGGTATTAATGTGTAAAGAAAGAATGTGACTGCCAGGGGGGGCCTGAAAGGAGGTGAGTCGAGTCCCCACATTCTTGAGGGGACCTCTTTATCGAGGAGGTGGGGGCACTGTTAATGTTACCTGCAGCCTGACTGGGCTTCCAGTGTCCAGGCATTTTCCTGGGAGGAGGCAGAGAATACCCATCAGACTGACTCCTGGATCCTTTTTTTTTTTTTTTT